TTCTTTCTTTCTTTTCTGTAATGCCAGACCAGCAGTCCTTTGGCAGGCAGTAGCTTCTGTATATTAGACTTTTCATAGTCTTAATAAAAGAGTAACAAGCCTAGTATTGAAAAAGCTGTTACATGACCACAAGTTAAGACTGTCACAGGCCTCATCCCCCCAGAACTTTCAGACTAGCACAGATAGGGTTCTACCCTGAGAGTCCATGCTCTGCTCCTCCCTTTAGGTATATCATATGTTCCTTGTTGTGCTATCAAAGCTCACTGCCTTGGCCTGCGGGTGCACCCATCAGTCCCTCACTAGGTGGAATAACTTTCTAGATCTTCCTCATCTATGAGGCTTCAGGAAAATTCTCAACTTCCTGCATTTCCTCCAGCTTACCAGTTTCTTCTAGCTGCCCACTGTCCTTCATACCCGCTACACCCTTCCTTACACCCACTTTTGACCCTATTTTGCAAAAAGTCTCTTGTTACTGATCTTCCTCTCTTGTCCATCTCACTGCATCAGAAATCTGCTCTCCAAGGCTGAAACTGTCCTTCAGTAGCATGGCTGCAGCTGCTGTTCCACACAGGAATCACCTTAGCAGTCTCTGGCAGATGTTGACTTCCCTGGGTTTTCCCCTGCAAGAATTTGCTCAGGTAAGGAAAGTTCAAAGCCAATGACTAATTAGTAAACCCTTTGGAAACGTGGACTTTGAAAGCAGGAAAACTGAAACCACCCAAGACAATAAAAGCAGGGGGTGAAATAAACTGGATAAACCTAAATGTGGGTAATGCAAAACAGATGCCAACTGAGTTACAGGAAAACAGGAGGAAGAGAAAGCTCACTCACTCCAACTGTGAACAAATTCCCAACTAGCACTGGCCCAACCTGCCCAATGCACACAGCACAGTGCGGCGTGGTATCACAAGGCCAGCCAAGATGGCTCAGGATGTTGACTACCCCCTGCCAGGCCTTAGCTGGCTTGTACAGACCCATCCTAAGCATTTCCATGGCCTTAACACAGTTAGCCCATAACCTAGATAACTTCCCCAGGTAACAAGAGCTGTCTGCAAATAAAAACCTTCATGCCTTCTGTAGTTTGCCATGACTGAGAAGCTGTAGAGTTTAAAATTGCCCCAGCTACAAGACAGCAAGGGTCAGTGGCAACACAGTTTGCTCTCAGCAAGGCTACATGAGAGCTTCCTCATTTCTGAATTTGTACTAAATGAATAATAGTTAAAATAGCTTTCTGTGTGTGATGTCTGGGGGCGGCATGTTCCCATGATGCACTAAACAAACCACAGCCCAACAGCTGTGCTAGAGGCAATAGCATAGCCTGAACAAGGACAGCATGCAGGCTCTGGAGAGGTATTTGCACCCACTGTGCCGTGTCATATGCTCCACTTGCCCAGGATTCAGCTATTAGGAAGCTGAAGCTTTCTCATTTTCACATTTGTTTTATTTTTTTCCATTGTGTGCTGACACTGCTGTCAGGAGTGCTGGCTTGTGGATAGAAACACTTTCACAGAAAGACCCAGATACACGGTAAGTATATGTTGGAAATAATGTAAGTGCTGTACGAACCGAGGAACGCCTTGCTCAGGAAGGTTCAGTCTGCTGTAGAGAGTGCACTTAACCGAGACCTCTTAAGAGCTCCAAACTTCAAAGCATTCATCTCAAAACATAACAACAAAGTACTGGGAGCACAGCACTGGCTGTGATTCTCTGTGGGAGAGGTCAACTGTCACAGACACTCTTACTTGAAATCACTCATCCCAAAGTTGGCTGCAATGAAACTACAAGGCAAATGTTGATTTTTTAGTATCAGCCAAAAGGAAAGTTTTCACAGTTTCACCCAAAAAAGGGAACTATGTACACCTGGGGTTGTCTTCCCTTCAGAGGAAGCAGCAGAGCATTTGCATTTGAGGTCATTCACAAAATTTGGTCTATAGAATCACAGGACAGAAGAGGTCACTTAGTCCCTTTCTCCACACTGAGGCAGGATCAGCTACATTCATGCAAATGTTTCTGCCCTGGAATAAGCCTATGTTGAATAGGTTCTTCCTTCACAAGAGTCAGAGTGACAGGGAACTGCTTGCCTAGAGAACTGCTCTGATGTGCATGATTAAACAGCCTGATATTGCCCAGTTCTTGTGTGTGGCTTAGAGCTCACTCTGGGCAGGGCTTCTGTAACAGTAAGAGAAGTCCAGCAATTCTAAATCTATGTGAACCAAACTGCTTGGAGAATGCTAAAGAAGACTCCATGGCAAATGGGAGTTTTTATTTTTCTCATTTTTATTCCTCTCCCAAATTTTGTCTAGATCTCATAAAGCCAGTTTGAGATAAACGCATACTTGTTCAAGTGAGAAAACAGAAAATAAGCTGAATTATTTTTGTTACATAAAAGCAATATAGCAAAAATCCAAAGTATAATCCTCTTTAAAACCATGATTTATATCTAGCTAAAGAAGAAATGCCTTTTTTTTTTTTTTTAGGGCTTGCTAACTTTCAAGAGATAGGGTATCTCAGGAGAAGGATTATAAGACTGTCTGTGAGAAAGTCAGACTCCTACTGCCTTGCCCCAAAGAAGTTTTGCCATAAATGTATGGCAGCTAGGCCACCACACAGCCACATGCACAACACAACAGTTTGCTGGCTGCTCAGACAGATAGCATAGTGCTGCTGGTAAGACTCATCTCTGCTCCCCACCGGCGAACGCTCTGAGAGGAGCTGGAAGGATCTAGCACCAAGTTCCCCTGGACGCAGCTCCCACAGTGCCACAAGGCAGCCAGCTGTACACAGAGAGAGCCAGCTCACTTGTGCAGAGCCTCATGTTAAAGCATTACTGCAGAGGATGACAGCCAGGTCAGCTTAACACAATTCCCTGACTGCGTATGATACCAAAACATTGGAGGCTGATCTTTGGTTCGCAAAGCTCTGCACCCAGTGCACCAATAATGACAGATGTGCTCTCTGGACATAGAGATCAGATACCTTGGGTGCTTCCCTTTGACAGAAACAGCTTCTCTCTACAGAGACAGAAGTAGTTGACCCACAGTAACTGGTAGTTTATTCATTCCCATGCACACCCTTTACTCTTCACCTCAAATTCTCCTTGATTTTTAACATGTTCAAAACAAGCTAGAGGGGCAAGAGTTTGTCACTAATAGGGATTCATTTGGCTAAGTGAAACATCCTTCTCCAGCCACAGTCCATCTTCTACCTCCCAAGTCATTACTTGTATTCCTTGAGCTTCCTATCCCAGCCATTGCTTAAAGCTCTTCAGGCCAAACAGCAGCCCCACAACTGTGCCCCACTCATCAAGTCTTAATAAAACAAACTCCACTGAGCAGGACAAGGGCACAGGTACTTATGCTTCCCACTCTACCCACAGCCCGGGAAGCACTAGCCTTTTTTCTGACCCTGTGTTTTTTCTGACCCTTTGTACGCTCAGAATGCACGAAGATAGAATGGAAAAGACTGACGAGAACTTGCTCTTGGAGGAAAGAGATTTCAGGATCAATACGCCTTTGAGCTCTCACATACCCTTCAGTTACCAGAGCTTACTCCTGCTCTGATTTAAAACAACTCTGGCAGTCCTCAGACTTGTTCAAGTAAAACTATTAACAATAACAATCCAGAGACATGTTGCTCAAACATCCCTAACTTTGAAAAACATATTTAAATCAATAAGATGTTCGTGCTGTTCTCTAGGCCCAAGTTTGGAGGAGAACAGTAACTAAGCTTTGGCCTTTGTCCGGAACTGGCAGAAAAGCAAATTTGATCTCTGGTCAATTTTATCTTTTTAGAGCACAAAAGCTCAGCCACCGTTTGCTGTCTTCATGACAGGCCCAAAGGGAGGGAGCCAATCTACTTTATGCCTAGCTTATCCACTGGGAAGCCAAGATGGTTTAAGAGAGCTTGAAAGGGGGATCCAAACTGCAACATATGCAGGTTCTTAAATGGTACCGGAATCATCTCTTGTGACCTGGTTACCTGAGAATGCCATCTTCAGCACAATCCACAAATCATGTTTTTCCAGGGGGACTGTTTTGCCCCAGATCATAACTTCTAAAATTTGTTTTTACGGTGATAAATTTGTCATCATAGTTATTCCCCTTCTTATCCTGGCATAAAGTCCCTTTATATAGACATCACCAGACACATTAGAAGACTGCACTGCTTCATTTAAGCTTCGTAAGAGTAACACTTAATATTGATCACCCCTAACCCAAGAGGCACCTGCAATACTGCTATCCCACCAAGGCTGACAAGGAACACTATAACCTCGAGTGTGGCAGGCAGTTTTGTCATAAATGGAAGCTCTCCATAGCTCTCTCGAGAACTCTCAGAAAGGAGTACCATACATGCCTCTGGAGTGTAGAAAAGTTCAGACACAATGAAAACTATGTAGACTGGACTCCTCTAGTCTCCAGCTGTTACCACTTCTGCACTAATAATTCCTCTGGGCTTCTTAGGAGATGAGAGAGGAGTCTGATCACTTTTGGACAGGTTGGGTCACTTTTAAGGCCATTAGTGCAATTCTACAACTAACCTTTGCCCTTCCTCCATATGTCACTAACTGATCTACTTCCAGTACGGCTCTGACTTCAGGTTGAACACTAGACAATAGGTATTGAAAGATGACTGTATTTTGGTTCCAGCATGACTGAAAGATTACTCTGAAGGAAAAGATACTTTTCTCTTGATTGGGGTCAACAAATCGCAGGGCACAACATTTACAGGCAGAACTTTAGAGTTATTTAGTTTTACTTTCCATTTGCGTTCAAAATCTGGTACCTAAGACGTCATCCAAATTCAGAAGTTCTCTGTGAATCACTGGTAATCTCTCCCGACTTAGTGACCTACTCAGAAGGCACAGGAAAACTGGCTTGCAGAACTTTCTAACTTAGAGATTAGTGGAATTTACGTTAGTTTTCTATTTCAGCATTAAAACAAGGATGAACAAGACCACACATCTCCATTCTCCAACCCCTGACTAGGAGAAGCAACCTTACCTTCTGAAATAGCCTTCTTGACAGCTGCAAGGTAAGCATCAGGCTCATCATCATACGTGACTTCTTGCCACTGAGACCAGTCCTTGAAAAAGGTCAAATAGTCATCACAGTCTGTAACACCACAGAACAACTTGACTACTTTGTGTGGGGGCCACAAAGCTTCCTGAAGGCTCTGCAGGACAGGAGGAAGATAAAAATTCTGCACCAGTTCAGCAGAGAGCAAAACGATGATGCTCCGACTTCTTCCAAACAGATCCAGCTCCTGGCGGGAAATTGCAGACTCACTTTCTACCTGGTAGCTCCGAATCCGATGCTTTCGTATGTGCTGAGTAGAGAGGAAGAGATTCTGGAGGTACTGACACCATTCAGTGGCATCACTTGCATACACAATCAGCACATCATATCCTCCAGAGGTTCCTGTGCAGGTGCAAGATGACCATAAGGAAGAGGATTAAACCCACAGTAAGAAATGATCATCAGTTTTACAGCAAAAAAGCCAGAGGGCTGTCTTTACAATTCATGTAAGAAGCTCCAAAGCACTCTAAGAGAACAGCAGGTATGGACAAAGCGAGCGGGTGTTCACAGCCACAGAGCAATTCTAAGGGTGGCTGAACTTCTACTTGTGTTTCCCCTACTAAAATTTAAGTAGTTTTTTTCATTCTCAAAAACCTTCCTTGAAAAAGGGGATTTCCTACATAGTTTTAAGCGAAACAAACCATTCGTGGAAATTTTCAGATTTAAAGCATCTCAATAGGAGGAAAAAAACAAAACAAAAAAAAAACCTCAACCCCCCCGAACAAACGTAGCTTGAAAAGGACAGTTCACCTTCAGGTAAGAGATGGATTCATTTTAGGCAACTGCAGGGGCTCTGCAATACAACTCTAGACCATTACATGCTGAAGTAGAGCGCACACTGAATACAGCACACCTAAAAGAAGAACAGTCTTTACTTAAATGAGGTCTCACAACGCTTACAGGAAGTCACTATGGCCTCCATGGGGCTAGACATTTGCCGTCATTGCAACAGAAAGCAAACTGCCCAGAAAGTACGTGTGCAAATGAAGGGTACACCAGCCCCAGTGTTTGCAGCACATCAATCCTGTCATTCAGGCTTCAGACATTTTCCTTTGAGAGCCTGTACTGGATCCCTCTCCCAGGACTGTCATACAAAGGTTTCCTGACCACAGTTAGGCATGATAAAACCTCTTTTCAGAGGGAAGGAACTAACACAACAGTGGCAGTCATAACGAAGCCTGAAACGTGCTGGCCAGAGTCGACTTATTCCAGAATTCTCTAGAGACAGCTCCTAACTACTCCTTCCTATGCATTTGTTCTACGGAATGAAAGCCATTTTAAAACTGTTTCCAGCTTGCCAAGAAAACCACATGTGGATTGAACCCCTATGATATGATGCAGTGCTAATCCCACAAATCTCAAAAAAAAAAAAAGGTTAAGTCTGAATTTATTTTTCTCATTCAACTGTGAAGAAGTTTACCCGAATTTGAGGATCATGTCTGTAGTCCCATGATAAATTTCAGTGCTGAGCATTTCAAAAGTTATTAGTAAACTGCCTTTCTTCTAACCCCACCTTGACTCTTAAAGTGACAACATTTCCAACCCATCTCCATCCAGAAGCAAGCAAACACAGGTTTTTCTAATTAAAGTAGAAGGCATTGCCTAAAATTTTGCATATCAGAAAGAGCATCTGCAAAGAGTGAACTTACCAAGACTGGAGATGACACTTATGCAGTCACCTTATTACAATTAAATCAAAATTGAACAACCTCCAAAGACTCCATTCTGCCACCCGACCCATAGCCTTTATTATAGTTGTAAGAAGGACTGAAATGTGGCGTAGGCAAATGCTAGAGCACCCAGCTCCAAACCATACAATTACAAACTTTTCTTTAAATTGCAGTGAAGTAGAAGCGGTGCACTTGAAAAGTAAAGCTTGGAGATGTGATCTATGCCCACCCAATAGCGTTACAGTTACCTGCATACATAGAAAGGCTCTAGCATGGAAAGAATGATGTCCAAGATATACAGAATACACAGGCAGTTCAGGAGGCCACAATAGCTGCATGTTTCTATGTGAATACAGTTCACAAACCCCAAGCTGAAGCTTGTAGGAGAAAACATTCTCAGTGGAGGGGATCCAGTAAACTCATAAAATGGGCAAGCAGACCCAAAGCCGGGGAGCTTTGAGGGAAGAGAGCAGAACTGCTCTGAAAAAAAGATGGTTTTCACCCCAGTGAGAACACCACTATTGCCAAAATATCACCTTCTGGCTCAACACCACCTCACAAAGAAGGCATAACTGCACAACCAGAAACAGGAAAATCAGACAGAATTAAGCAGGACAGTTGTTTTTATTCTAAAAAGGGAGAGAGAAGAACCAGAGACTTCAGGAAGCCCCTTAGCAACTTCTGCTTCCAGTGCCAGCTGGTGACATTCATGCAGTACAGTGGGAAGGGGCAGCACAGCCAGGTACAGAGAATGAAGTAAACCAGCTGAGCCCACCCTGGTCAGATGGGGAGACCTGCTGCTGTCCCTGGAGGCAATGAGGGGAGGAATCCAAGGCACAGAGCCAGTGGTGGTGGGACTTTCAGCTTCCCCAAACTCAACATCATGCAGAGGGGAGATGGTGCAGCTAGTTTCTAGCCCTGCTTTCACTCTCTCTAAGAAGCCTGGCCTCCAGACTTTGGAGAAAGTCGTAGTGGCCTCCAGATCATTGTAACATTCTGTAAAATGGAACACTTGATCATAACATGCAAGTATAAGAAGAGCACAACTTTGGCAACTAAGCTATCAGCAAACAGACCCGTTCACCGGTCTTTCAACAAAAAGGAGAAGCTATGCTTGGGGGGTAGAGGAGGAGAGCAGGATTGGAGAACCACTGATTTGAAATATGCATTGCGCTGTGGGGGCACTAAGAAGCCAGAAGCCTCCCTTCTCTGATATGGGTGCAAAAGATGCAAACTTTACAGACCATGCTCCCTGTCAGCATTTATATCCCCAGAGACAACACAACCCAGAGCAGTGTAATGTCTGTACGCAGTAGGAACAAGCTTTGCCTAGTATTTAGGAAAGGCATCAATTTCCTTATGTACCACTGCTCTACTGGCACCACCATTCCCCTTAACAGAACCGTTCCAGCTTTTCACAGGCTCCCTTACCTGCAGGTCTGTAGTCTTTTACAATACCAGGATAAGCGGAGGAGCAGCTTCTTTAAAAGGAGAACCAAATAACAAAATTACTGACTCCGCTCTTAGAGCCATGGACATTCTCTAGGGTCATAAGCAAATACACTGGAAGTGGGTCTTGAAGAGTTTAGTAAGCTTAAGTCAGCAGATGAGATTGTTTTGAAGAAAATAAACATCTAGAAATATTTTCAATTGCAACATCCCCTTTTAAAAGAAGGATGGCACAGGACTTGCTTTCCTGGATCATGCCATTATTTGCCTAGTCAAATACTTCACTTTGCAACACCAATTACTCCCTAATCCCCAGGGAAACAAATAGAGAATACAGAATGTTTGGGAGAAGAGTTTTTCCCCTCAACTCTTCACGCATCAGTTACAGTAAAAACTTACAGAGCATACTTCAAAGCACAAATTAAACTCTGCAATTGTACAAATTAAACTGTGCAATTGTACATATATAAGGAAATCCCTTGGCAAACACCTAGCACTTTATTCCTATTAAGCCCTGACATCAGTTGTATGCTTTGACAATGCATTCCACAGGCTGGTTTTGGAAAAAGAAAAACAAAAAGAAGAAAGCCTTCACTTTACAGCAAGAAAGACTTTGAACAGTACGTATGGCAGTAGGATGAGAAAAGAAGATGTGGGCAGCTAACCCTTTCAAAAGTAATTACCAAGTGAAAAGTAATTTAAATTTTAACAATATTTTGTTGCTGCATTCCTAAGCTTTCTGATTCCTTTCAAGCTGTAACAGTCCATTTCAATGCTTAGCAGCAAACTCCACTATACAGCAATAGTATAAAATTGATGAGATTACAAGCTAGTGCTGTAGAAATGCCTAAGTCCTCTAATTAAGGCTGGAGTCCCAAAGATTAAATAGCATGGAGACAGAACAAAAGATAAAGCTTTTCTTAGTTTATAAACTGCAAATGGAATAGGAGGGGGATAAAGTAATTTGGTCAAAAACAAAGAAGGTCCATGCAAGACCAAGAAGAGAATAAAAGTGTCCAAAAGTGATAAATTATATCATGCATTTATAGTCCCTCTCTGAGAAAGAAACAAAATAGACTCATCTTTGGGCAGCGTTTTGCAGTAGTGAAATCACAATCTTTGAGTGCAGAGTAAACATGGGATAGCAGTTTACAGCTATATTGTGCAATTCTAATTACCTAGAGCCACTAAAACAGCTAAAGAATACTATAGGAAGTTGGTATATCAGCTTGGTAACATTACATCCTGACCACTTAACACTTCCCAAATTTGCATCAGATATCATCTGCTGTTATTACCTACTAGGCCACTTTACAGGCCAAAAGGCTTGACCTTTTTCAATTTAAAGATCACTAATAGTTTTGCATTGTTCTTGTAGGTCCCACAAAAATTCAAGCCCTTTAACAATCAATTCACTTTTCTGTGTCACCTTTCACATCCCCTTCCTCAGCAGACCATGATTTCTAAAGGTCCACAGACCAACTACAGGTTAAAAATAAACCTGAGAGATAAATGCTTTACTCCAACTTAGATGATCACATACACTGGCAAGCAAATCAATTTTTATCTGCTAGATCAAATCCACCACAAATTCTCACTAAACAAAAAAAGGCCAGTGGCCTGTTATAGCATTATCATACAAGTGGTGCATGGAAGATACAAGAATATGCTAATTCCCAAAATATCAATCCTTGATAGAGGGGGATCCAAATTCTAATCAAAGACAACTCCCTATAATATAAGGGAAGCTCAGCCCACTCCTAACAATCAAATTCTTAAATGAGTGAGAGCTTCCAGGAGGTGTTAAAAGCTGCTAGTGAGCCATTAACAGAAGTCCTCAGCATCTTTCAAATATTTTAGTGTCTAAAGTTGGTGTATTCAAGTGATGTATGATGAAATGAATGCATTCTTTGCCTACCTAGAATGCATAACAAAGTAACAGAGATCATACGCAGTAATTATTAACATGCTAGCAAGACCTCTCAGTTTGAGTGGAATAGAAAACCTTGACTTTAAATAAAGTGCTGCAAACAAGCAAGAGGAAATAATAGAACCAAACTAGATAAAAATTTTGTGAACAAAACTTCAGTGATAGGAATGTGAGATTTGCATTCACAATATGTGCATCTAAAGTTGTTCTATTTATAAGAGTTTCATTAAAACTATTTTCTGTTTATAAGGAGAAAGGTAGTTTTGGTATCTGTCCACAAGCCTCCTGAGGGGGTTCATTTAGGTTATTTTTACATCACAAGGAGATATGCGTCAGTGAAACACTAACGTTACTTCACACCCTGAGGTGGCACGTTTTTCCTTTTTTAGGTAAAACACATACACTTCCCTGCAAGGAGGGGAACTTGAAAATTGGGCAAACTTACACAATATAGGTTAAACTTCACTCCCTCTTGAGTTTGCAGCTGTATTCTAACCAGTTTTACCTGCACATTCAGTAACTAAAAGATTGTCATTGATAGCAACCTAGGACAGATTGTTTGTGAAACTGTGCCACTGTGGCAGGGGGCAGCAGGCCATACCCCAAACGGCAGTAGGCAAACGTTGGGGGACAGAGTAGTATTTAGGAAAAACTGAGTTCTCTTCAAAACATCCTAGAACACCTAGGTGGCAAGGACTCAGCAGGGACAGATTACTCTGCGTATCGTCCCTTAGGGCTAGCTGAGCTGCCAAACTGAAGCATACCCAGGAAACTGGCGAACTGCGCCAG